CTCGCTGTGGCGGGGTGAATTTGTGTGGCGAGCGATCGGGGGTAGCGGCGGCGTTCGCTGTAGGCAGGGTTTTCGCCATGGCGGGGTTCGCTGTAGCGAGGGAGCACTGTATGTGTATGCTTGCTGGCAGGTCCGTTGGAAGGTTAGGAATGAGGAGGTCTGCTCTGATGAGCGCGGGGCCGATGGCAGTGATGCTATGGCATGAGTAACTTATGTATTTACCTATCATTGCTGCCTGGTGCCAGGCAGGGCAATCAGGCATTTTCAAACGTAGGATATACATAAGTGGCAACCCTCCCAGCAGTATTCGCACACTCTGCTGGCAATGGGAAGTCCCATGTGCGCCACGAGCTGCATGGGGCCATGTCTTGCCAGCCAGGCGTCGGGAAGGGTGCAGGGTGGGGAAGAATGGGCCAGCGTTGGGCCCATCTCAAATTCAAATATGTGAGCCCAGCCCAGGGGGTTCGGGCTGCCCCTGCGCTTGGGCCTTTACCAAAGGGCAGGTTCAGTGCCGGTGATGGCGATTTGACTGGATGCCCCTGGCAGTGCATGCACAAGCGGCTGGCAGAGGAGCCACCAGGGCCGCGCACGCAAAGCCTTTAGCGCCCTGCTTTTTGGGGCCGCGAGCGGCTACGGCCGCCCTGATACGCATGCAAGGCCGCGGCTTGTGGGTCAATTTTTGACAAGCTCGCTTGATTCTATGCAGCAAATGCTTCGCACACGCGCTCGAGCAAGTTTGCCGTGTTGCCGCCGCTCACGATCTTCTGCGCTGTCTGGGTGGGCCCAGGCGTCCCAGGCCGCGCATTTCATTGAGTGGCGGGTGCAGCAGCCCTGTGCTTCGCCGCCCCTGGACTTTCTCATTGCCTTCTTGTACCGAGCGCACTAACTTTTGCGGCCGCGGGCGGCTGGCGAGAGTAAAGTGCGCGGTGGGGGTTCGTGCACCAAGCAACTCACGCAACCAACAAGGGGGTGCACTCCCTTACAGTGCTTGATCAAAAACATTCGCGCATAACTTTTCAGACCAAAACACGGACTCCTGCTCAACGGTGTCCTTTCCCGCGAGCAGCAGAATCACAGCAGGAGCAAGACGTGACACGCCCGCAAGCGCTTCTGCGCGACCCTAGGAGGCATGGAGGAGGACTCTGATGGCTTGGTGGCGCCACAGGCGGCTCCACAGGGGCCAGGGGCAGAGAGGTCGAGCCTGGCGCCATCGTCCTTCACCTGCAGCATCTGTATGGAGCTGCTCGTGGATCCTGTAGTCGGTGAGCACCTTTTTAGACATCTGCGAGGTGGTCCCGACACGCGTGCACAGCTCAGCGAGTCTGCCCCCGCAGTCGTTCTGAACACCGCCTACCCGCGGCCCCTCCACCCCGCAGGCAGCTGCGGGCACGACTTCTGCAAGCGCTGCATTGATCAGTGGCGAGGCTCGTGTCTGCGCAACGGGCGGTGCGTGCAGTGCCCAGTCTGCCGCACCCAGCTGCTGTCATCGCCGTGCCAGACCTTTGGTGAGTGCACGTGCTGCCCTCTCTTGCATGCCTGCATGCATGCATGCGACCACTGTAAAAGGCTGTTCAAGCAGTATAGATTGCGATCTGCCATAGTGCCGCAGCGCGTTGGTAGGCGGCTGTGGCGTCACGTCCATGGGCTGCGGTGCTCCGACCGCTGCCTTACTTCTTCCCTCCTTGGCCCCACCGCTGCTTTGCAATCTTGAAGGCGTTTGCATACGTCTGAGGGAGACCATTGAGAAGCTGTTCCCAGATCAGCTGGCAGCTCGCCGAGCGGAGGCTGAGCGGCAGGCCATCGCCGGCGGCGGCAGCTCTGCGGCAGCATACAGCAGCGCCGAGCAGCCACCCGCGGCGTCCTTCGCTCAGTTTGCACAGGCGATCCGGCAGCAGCAGGCCCTGCTTGGCCACGAGTACGAGCAGCAGCGGGCCAGCATGATACGTGACAGCATCGCGCTGCTCACGAGGCCGCCAGCCGTGCCGACCAGCAGCTCGGCCAGCACCACCAGCACATCTTCGCAGCTGGGCCAGCCACAGCAGCGCGCCGTGCCAGAGCGCCAGCAGTCCTCCCCGGGACAGCACCAGGTGTTCAGTGCGCACCAGCCACACCGGCCAGTTGCAGCATCTCTGCCGGCCGCCCAGGCCGCGGCAGCTGCGGCCGCTGCTGCCTCCGCGGCAGGGACTTTGTCCGACTGGCCGCCAACGACAGACATGCTGCAGCGGGCAGCAGCCGCCACCACGCCTGCATTTGAGCAGCAGCAGCAGCAGCAGCAGCAGCAGCAGCAGCAGCAGCAGTCGGCTCCAGCACCGCCTGCGCATGATCGCGAGATCATCCAGCAGCAGCAGCAGCTGCTCGGCTGGCTTGCAGGCATGGTCACTGGGGCTGCTACAGCCGGCGCCAACCTGCAGCCCGCGCCCGTCTCAACCCCCTCCGCGACTGGGCCGGGCGCAGCTGGCGCTGGCGCTGCTCTGGCCGCTGCAGCCTCCATTGCTGGGGTCGCAGGGCCTGGCGCCATGCCGCTCCTGTCCCTGCCAGAGGCCCAGCAGCTGCTGAGCAGCTGGGCGTGGCACGGCAGTGTGTTTGAGGCGGAGCTGCTGGTAATCTACACGGTCCTGCAGCACCGTCTGGCGGCGTGCGGCGAGTTGCTGCGCATGTGCAGTATGAACGACGGGAGCAATGGTGCCGCGGCAGCAGCGCTGCAGCAAGTGTTTGGGATGCAGCAGCTGCCAATCCCGTCTCTGCAGCAAGCGCAGCAGCAGCAGGCGCAGCAGCAGCAGGCGCAGCAGCAGCAGCAGGCGCAGCAGCAGGCTCAGGCGGTGGCTCAACAGCATGCACACGCGCAGCAGCAGGCGCAGCAGCAGGCGCAGTCTACTCCAGTCACGCCTCAGCACGCGCAGCAGGGTGGGCAGCAGCTGTGGTGGGGGTTCGATATGCAGCAGCAGCAGCAGCAGCAGCAGCAGCAGCAGCAGCAGCAGGTGCGCTATCAGCAGCATATGTGGATGCAGGCGCAGCAGCAGCTGGCTGCCGCCGCTGCCGCAGCGCAGCAGCACATGCAGCAGCAGGCTCCAGCTCAATCATCTATGGCGTTCCCGTTTTGGGGGCAGCCCCCGGTAGCAGCTGTGCAGCAGCCGCCGTGGTCTGCGCAGCTCATGAGCTCGTGGCCGGCCTCTGGGAATGGTCAAGGAGTGGAGCAGCCGCAGCAGAGCGAGTCGTCAGAGGGCGGGCTAACGACAAGCTCCACAGGTGCTGCGCTGCCTGTCTTTTGGCAGCAGGGCGGGGCTGCGCAGGGCCAGCCAGCGCAGCACCAGGGATCGATGGATTGGCAGGCGCACAGCGGTGGATGAACTGGGTTGGTGCGACGTGGTTCCTTGAGTGTGTTGACGTCGTCTGACACAACACCCCTGCCACCACGACAACCCTCTACTTGCTCGTCGTTGCGCTGCTGCCGACAGCGCCGCAAGCGCATAGACCAGGCGCACACGTCCGCGGTCGCTGCCATTTCCTGTGTATCAGAAGCGCCGCCCTTCTCTTTTGGCACACGCACGAAATCCGCTTGCAATGCCTGTTCGTACGTCTTCCATAATTATCGGCATGCACACAGATACGCACAACGGGACGGTGGATATGGACGAGGGGCTTTTGCCACTCGAATTGTCTTTGTTTGCTGCAGAGGCGCATCGGCGCGCTTGAATTATCGCGCGGCGCCGTGCATGGCCGCCGACAGTCTTGACGCAAGAGCGCCGTTGGAGGTCGGCAGGCCCCGGATTCCCCTTCACCCATGAATACTGCGTGCATTGTGCTCCAGCGCTGCGCCGCACGTCCTGCGATGGGTCGTCTGCGGGCCCGTCTCTGCTGGGCGTGCGCCAGCTTTTGACAGCATGCCGGCTGTTGCCGTCTTGCTCGTCCCTTCTACTTCCAGCCGTTTCAGGGCGCCCCGTATCATGCCAAGGGGCCCAATCACCGAGCGCGCGCCTTAACACAGCAGCGCGTCTTCCCTCTCCTGCGGTGGCTGGCGCCCTAGCGCCTCACAAGCCCCGCTGCGAGAAGGGGCATGTATGCATTTTCGGAACGACACCCAACCTCTACGACCTCTGATCCCCTCAGATGAATCCGCAGAAACCGAGTTCTTTAGTGCTCAATAGTTTGTGGATTGCTCGTTGTTTTTGTCCGTGCCCCCTCATCCCCCCTGGTCCAAGCCAGTGGTTGAGTTGTGGGTCCAAATCCCAATGGTGTGCGCTCCAATGCCACTGTACTTGTTTGCGACTTTATGCCCTCTTTGCTTCCGTCACCTGTTGCGCGCATGCACATGTCTGTGTTATCGGAGCATTTCCAGATCTCATCATGCTGCTGTTCCCCTTGGGACCAGCAGGTTCAGCAAGGCCAGCCATCTGAAGGCATCACTTCACATAACAGGATCTTGGAGGGCATGCTTTGCGTTGGTTTGTTTGCTGCCATGAGCTTGTCAGCAGCAGCTTGCGAGCTGCAGCCAGCAGCATAGTGCAATGCTGCCAAAGCGCCTCGCGCCGACAGCTGGGTGATGGCACAGGCAGGGTGATGGCTACAGTACTTGTCAGGTTCAAATGTGTCTTGGAGGTTGAGCTGCTCCTGCTGCACAGCCCATGCTTATGACGATACCCGTGAGCTTAGCGTATACTGTACCACAAATCAAACAGCGAATATCTGCATTCGTACTGTGCTTCACTTGCACGGGTGATCTGCCAAGTTGATGGTGTCTGCATGGTGATGGGATGAAATCTTCACCAGATGAGAGTCAGCCTTTGGTGGCAGATCAGAACGTACACGCCGACGGTCTTGGTGCAGCAGCAGCGAGAAGTGACAGACCCAGAAACGACAAACCCTTACCGTTGCCGCTAGTTTTAGGTGGGTGACCGCGTTTTGTTCATGCGCGGGAGTGTTTCGTGCGGGCCCTTGCGCATTTCAGCCTTTGGCGGGAATCAGCACACGCGCGATGTCAGCTTTGACGGGCTGAGCGCATTGCCTTTGCCCTCTCAGAACGACAATCTCTGACGCTCGCCTGCCGCTGGCACTGCAGCCTACTACACGGTCGCGTCTGGCAGCCTTCTAGTCATCAACAAAGTAGCTATTGTCGCGCTGCCGGCTCCAACCTTCGTGCTGCTCTGCCAGCTGCTCTTTTCGGCCGGTGCCGTCTTGATCGCCCATTGGGTCGGCGCCGTCGCCATAAGCAAGGCAACCGCCCGGCAGCTGCTACACTTCTTGCCGAATATCTTGGGGTTTGTGGGGACCATCTACGCCAACATCAAGGTGCGCGCGCACGGCACCACGTGACGTTCACAGTCCGATGCGACAGCCGGACGCTCGCTCTGGGGCATGCGAATACATCGCTGATGCGCCTCTGGAACGCCGTCCCGTTGCTGCTGCTCAGCGCCGGGGGCCCTGCCGGATACCGCTGCGGGCGCCGCAGGTCCTGCAGCACAGCAATGTGGAAACCTTCATCACCTTCCGCTGCAGCACGCCCCTGGTCCTCTCCTTCTTCGACTGGGCCCTCCTCGGCCGCAAGCTGCCGACGGCGCGATCCTGGGCGGCGCTCGCGGCGCTGCTGCTCTCGAGCGTTGGGTACGCGTGGTTCGACAAGGGTTTTGTCGTGGACGCGTACGCGTGGCTGTTTGTGTGGTACGTCTTCTTCACGTTTGAGGGCGTCTGGGTCAAGCACATGGTGAGGCAGGGCTGCCGGGGCAGGGGCAGGGGCGCCTGATGCAGCGTGTCCACACAGTGGCACGTTTTGACAGCCATTGGGATGGAGCGGCGCGCTGGCTGCCTGTTGGGACTGACAACCGATGTGGGTGCACGTGCTTTGCTGTGGCCGGGCCGTTGCGTAAGGGCCCGCAGTTTAGTGCTGCCTCTACCCTCCATGCCCTGCGCGTGCCGCCGCAGTGCGACACTGTCCCCATGTCCAATTTCGGGCGCGTGTACTACGCCAACCTCATGAGCAGTCCGGTGCTGGCCGCTGCGCTGCTGTTCGCCGAGAAAGAGCGTGCCCTGCTGGCCGGAGTCACCTGGGGCGTCAGGGTCTCCGGCCCCCTGGCCCTGTCGTGCATCATGGGCGTGGCGATGAGCCACGCGAGCTACCTGCTGCGGTCGCATGCGGCGGCGACGACGGCGGCGGTGGTGGGCATCGCGTGCAAGCTGCTGTCAGTGGTGCTGAACCTCGCGATCTGTGAGCAGCCCCTTCACGCTGCTTTGTTCCGCTGTGTGCCGGCTCTGTATGGGGTGGTGGGGTGGCTGTATGCAGGGCGTAGTGCTGAGCGTAGGCAGGCTTGGCTTTGGGGAGCGCGAGGGGAGCTAGAGTGCACTGTGACAGCCATTGGCGAACGAGCTGGCACGTGGCATACGGAGTGTGAGGCCTGTGGTCGCTGCAGGGCACGACGGAACCCCTTCACCAAATTCCCCTGTACGCAGGGGACCGGCACGCCGGCCCTTTGCAGCTGGGGTTTCTGCTGCTGGGCATTTTTGCAGCTGCCATGTACAGGTAAGTCGGCAAGGGAGTTGGCTTGCTTCTCTGCCGGGTGCATGGTGTAGTCCAAAGACAAGATCTCAGTCGGGCACAACGCTCCAAGGCGCCTGCTTGTGGCTGCCGGCGTGAGCCGGTTACTGTACCTCTTGTCATGCTGGTTTGTTCCTGCCTGCTGACTTGCGTGGTGACTTCTGCACACAACTTATGCCGCTGGGTGACGGCCTGCGCTCTCATTCCAGGCAGGCGCCGCTGCGGGAGGAGGCCAAGCTGCAGGCCAAGGCTTCAGGGACTGAGTCGGTGGAGAAGGGCAAGGACTGACGCTCGTTGGAATGTAGAATCATAGAACCCGCCTGACGACGTTGCTATGAATTTTGTGATATGGAACTGCTAATTGTTGATGACGCGACTGTGCACTCATTCGATACATGGCGCTGGAAAGGGCTGCTGTTCCAGCCACTCCTTGCGATCAGAACTAGACTCCCAATCATTGCGCTGACGTCACGTGACCGCTGGCGGTCGAGACCTTGGAAAGCACTGGGACCAGTTGCTTGTAAGCAACCTCACGAGCTTGACAGACGCCCTTCACGTCACCTGGCCGCTTTGGGGCCTCGCCAACGCTCCGGTCGCGCTGATCATCGCCGCCCTTTGTCAAAGCAGCATGACTCGGCTGCTCGGAGCAGCTGCCTGTGGGCATGATAGTGGCACCATACACGTTCATGCGCATCGTATGTACCAACACAAGTTCTTCCGACTGCTCGTTTCTTGCCTACAACGGCACTCATATCGCACTGCGAGGATGAATGCTGAAATTCTGGGCATGCGAGCCCACCATGCCAGCCATGCGGGCCAGCTGCAGGCGCGCTCGCGCGCTGGAGGCTTCCATCACGCGGTTTCATCATGTATACGGCTGGTTAGCGCTCGAGGTACCAGGGGTGATGCCAGCCCGCGCTCAGCACAGTTGGGTTCGCACACTCATGCATGCACGCCTCTCTCATGGAAGCGTACCGAAAAATCTGACAGAGTAAAGTTGCTAGATCCTGTCACGAGGCTAACTCAGTGGTGATGCCGTCTTGGGACAGCCCTGTTGGCGCCCCCGCCAGTCAGCAGCGCTGACGACGCTGCGCTGTGCTGCATGAGGGCCATCGATGCTGGAGACGGTGCCTCTCAACCACGCACCTGCTTGTCATGCGCGCCGAACTGCCATACGCCGCACCTCGCAGCCTCGGCTGCGCACAGCCGCTCCGGCGACAGCCCGCTCACAAGCAGCAAAGCAGCGGTGGTTGCCGCTGTGCCCGCACCTGCAGCGGCCGTGCCGGGGTTGATCCGGGTGCCGTCCTCGATACACGAGGTCGACAACGGGAAGATTCTAGGCTTTGGCGCTGATCTAGCAGAGGTCAGAGCGGCTTGGCTGACGGCGCTTGGTGACATGCTGCTGAACCTGCTCGACTACCCTAGGCGCGTTTGTCGGGCTCCCCGCTGCACCCCAGGGCAGCAGCCGCCACGGCCTGCTGGATCCTTGTGCTGCCATAAGTCGCTGCCAAGCAAAGCTGCATACTGACAAATTGTGTGCCGACGCGCCCCGCTGCGCTCAATCAGGATCACCCTGGTTTTGGTGACGAGGCATACAAGCAGCGGCGGGCGGCGATTGCGGACATCGCGCGGCGGCATGAGATGTGCGCGGGCGCGGGGGTGCGCTGTACAGAGTCCCCACTGCTGCAGTGTCATCCCAACGAATTGTCGCGGCGTTTCGCGCAGCAGTTTTGCAAGGCGAGTCGCCGCGTTTGCCCTTGCCCTCTGCACCCGCTATCGCTTCACAGCACCGTTTCCTTGACCACCCCCGCCTGCATCCCAGAGGCGACCCCATTCCTCGCATCGACTACACCCCGGACGAGGTCCGCGCGTGGGGCACGGCGCTGCGGGAGCTGAAGCTGCTGTTCCCCACCGCCGCGTGCCGCGAGTTCCTGCACACCTTCCCGATGTTCAGTTTCAGGCGAGCAGCTAGCCCTCACATCAACCCCGCGCACGCATGCGCCCCCCGCGCAACCCCGGCGGCGGCTTGTGCTGGGTGGGCTCGGCTTGCCCGGCGCGCCAATCGCAGCTGCGCGCGAGCGGCGCGCCCCGGGAACGCTGACCGCACCCTGAAAGCCCGGCCCAGGCAGCCGTCCCTTAGGAAAGCCCAGCCGCGCCCTGCGCGCCTGCTTGCATTGCGCGCACACTTTGATCAAGGCATTGCCACTCGCTTACTTGTGCTTTGTCGCATCACAATATTTCTGATGTTGCAGGGAGGACGAGATCCCTCAGCTGCAGGACATCTCGGACATTCTCACGGCCACCTCCGGCTGGAAGGTGCGCGGACGCCTCGCCCCCAGCCTGCCGTGCCGAGCGGCACCGCCCCGCGCCGCGCTGCATGCTTCGCTCCCCTTGCGCTGTCGTTCGGCGGCCCCGCTTGTTGTCAGCCTTATGGGCGTGTGAGCTCCCGTCGTGCGCCCGCTGTGTGGCCCCAGGTGCGGCCAGTGGCGGGGCTGATGCACCCCAGGGACTTCCTCAACGGCCTCGCATTCAAGTACTTTCATAGCACACAGGTGTGCTGCATCGTGCGCGGACCGGACCGCAGCCGCCGCAGCTTGTTGGAGTATGCCGGTCCCTGGCAGCTCTGGGAGCTACCAGCCTGTCTTGCGGTGCCTCCCCTCCGAAGCCCCCGCCCATGTATGCAAACGCCACGCCTGGTTGTTTGTGTCTTGCTCAATGCATCGGCATTGTTGCTTTGAGATTGCTCACCATCCTAATGCCATCCGCCCTGCGCACGGCCTGGCAGTACGTGCGGCACCACTCGCAGCCAAACTACACGCCAGAGCCCGATGTGGTGCACGAGGTGCGGGGGCACGCAGCTGACTGCGTGCCGAAACAACCACGGCGCGCGTGCGTATCTTGCATCACCCCTCACCGCGTTCCAGCGGCCAAGCGCCTGGGCCCTTGGCGGCTTCCGCCTCCCCTGCTGCTGACGCCTGATGTATAGCCACCAAATTGGTCTGCTCGTGTTTGTCCAAAGGAACACTCGCACGTTGCGCTCGCCAACCCGCGCGCAGCTCATCGGCCACGTGCCGATGCTGGCGGACCCGGATTTCGCGCGGATGGTGCAGGCCATCGGGGTGGCGTCCCTCGGGGCCGAGGAGAAGACGATCTGGCACCTGACTAAGGTCTACTGGTACACAGTAGAGTTTGGCGTCGTCCGCGAGGGCGGCGCGGTGAAGGCGTTTGGCGCCGGCGTGCTCAGCAGCTACGGCGAGCTTGACTGGATGGCGCGAGGCGGCGCCGAGCTGGCGCCGTTCGACCCTTACGCCAAGCAGCCCAAGATGAGGTGCGTGCGCGGCGCCGGGGGGCCTGCGGGCGGGTACGCGTGGCGTGGGTCCTTCTCGGCCGGCGGCAGTCTACTCCCCTTGCATCGGCACCTGCTGAGAGCTGTGCGTGAGGCTTCGACGAGCGCAGCTGGGCTCCTTGTTTGGGTTCGGCCGCGGTGATCCACGTGCCGTGTGTGCGGGCCCCGCATCCTCAATCCACTCCGCCCCGGCCGCATCTCCTCACCGACGACGCCCTCACCACCGCGACCGCCGTCACAGTTACAAGGACGGCTTTCAGCGCAAGTGAGCAGACTCGGAGCCGCTAGCGTGGCGGCGTCTGAGCCCGGTAATAGTGCTGCATGATGCTCGCTGGCGCCGGCAGGGGTGTCCCGGATAGAAGCATGCGTCGTGCTTGCCGCCCTGCAAACTCTGCTGCCTCGCCACGAATTTCTCTCCCCCTTGGTCAGGTACTTTGTTCTGGACAGCTTTCAGGAGGGTGCACGTCTGCTGCAGGTGGGAGGGTTTGGTGGCTGTTGATATTATGATAGAAATCTGCATGTTCGTTATCGGCAGAGGAGCCCTCCATGTATGCCGGCCCTTGCAAGGGGCAACTGGAAAGGAGTGGGTTCAAGTGCCCGCTGCTCTGAACCCCTCCACGTTGCCATCCCGCGCCTTGTACAGGATTATGCGCGCTCCCTGGCGCTGCCTGCTGACCTGCGGGGCAACCCTGCCCAGGCTTGAAGGGTGCTTGGCTGACCTGTGAACGATGTACACTAGGTTTGTCTGCAATGAGGGCTTGAGAGGCTTCTGAGAAGTCAAGCAGCCGCGAACGCTGAGGGCTTTGTATGCAAGCCCTTGTTTGTATTACCAGCAATCTGCTAAAGTTGAGAGCGCCTGATGCGCATTTCACCACCCCCGACACCTACACACGTGCCGCTCGTACGAGCGCACCATCCGCCCGCTGCAGAGCGGTAGTGTGACGCATATACCAACTTGCGTGGAGTGCTCGCCCTTGTGCACAACAGGCGTGCTGCAATCAGCTGCCGTTGCCTTCGCAACCTCTGTACCATTAAGAAAACAGCACCCTGTTGTGGACCTGCATCTGGTTGTGCACGGCAGCCTACATGCGCACACTCGTATGTCGCGCTTTATCCTTACAGCAAAGCTTCTGGACTGGGGGCATGTGCGCTGCAACATTTTGCGTGCTGCTGCCCAGGTCAAGCATGGTCAAACTCCGTGCTTTTGCTGGCGTGTTTGGGATAGAGAGGCTTGTCAGCATCGGCACATCTTTTGGTCCTGACTGCAGCGGTAACCATCATTGCAACTCGTTTTTGCTTCAAATTGTAGGGGCTGCCAAAGAAAGTGTCACACAGCATCAGCAGCAGCACCACTGCCCTCCAACTCCTATGCACCGCCATACTCATGACCGAGCGTCCAAAAGACCAAAGCCCCCTGGCCAGGATCAAAACACAGCGTTTTACTTGTGCAATGGCCTGCAAGGTGAACAGTGTGGTTGTACACCAGCTGCTCGCCTTCCTGGCGAGCTGTGCATTCGACTGACGGACGAGACAGTGTCGACGCAGCAGGTTCAACCGGCGTGAGACCGATCATTTCGGCATCACGCTCGAAATTTATGCATTGGCGTTCGTGACAGCCGGCCCCGTTAGCCAGTGCAGGGGGTTGCGAGACAGCAAGTAGACCTCCGCGGGCCGAATGGCGAGCCTTCTGAACCTTGCGCGGGGCATGGGGGTGAGCCGGGGATGCGTGGCAGCGCGCAGAGCGGTGCCAGGCGGGCGCACACTGGAGATCAGGCGCTCTGCGACAATCGCGAAGGTAGGTTGGCGAACCCCAGGCTAACGAGTGCCATGAAAATTTGATTGTTTTTTCAAGAAAATCAATGGGAGCCGGGGGTGCTTCATGGGGGTGCGAGCATGGCGCGGCGTGCGGCAGCACCGAGCCTGCTCACAGCGCTTGCACGGCCGTTCATGCCAATGCCATGCTTGAGTGGCAGCCACTTCACAGCCCATTGCAGTTCTTGATATTTTCTAGTGGATGATCATCTGTTTACTCGCTGCCAGGGCAAGCTGTGGCTCATTGAGCCTGCCACACCCAGTGGCAGGCGGGACCCCACCCCCGAGCGCTGACGGCCGCGCCTGCATGTCGGTTGACGCCCGCCTGCCCACACCCCCGCAAACCCCAGGCCAGCAGCGCCAAGTTCTTCGTGGGCGGCAACTGGAAGTGCAACGGCACCCACGCCAGCGTGGAGAAGCTCGTGGCGGATCTCAACGCCGGCGAGGTGCCCTCGGACATCGACGTCGTCGTCGCGCCGCCCTTCATCTACATCGACTGGGTCCGCGCCAACATCAAGAGCGCCTACAAGGTCGCGGCCCAGAACTGCTGGTCCAAGCCCGACGGCGCGTACACCGGAGAGATCAGCGCGGAGATGCTGAAGGACGCCGGCGTGCCGTGGGTCGTGACCGGCCACTCGGAGCGCCGCCTGCTGCTGGGGGAGTCCAGCGGCACCGTCGGCCTCAAGACCGCCCACGCGCTCGACGTGGGCCTGTCCGTGATCGCGTGCATCGGGGAGACGCTGGAGCAGCGCAACGCCGGCAACTTGTACACCACGATCGACCTCCAGCTGCAGCCGCTGTTTGAGAACGTGAAGGACTGGTCGCGCGTCGTGCTCGCGTACGAGCCCGTGTGGGCGATCGGCACCGGCGTCGTGGCCACGCCGGCGCAGGCGCAGGAGGTGCACGCGTACGTGCGCAAGGCGCTCACGGACCGCCTGGGCAAGACCGCGGCGCAGTCCATCCGCGTGATCTACGGCGGCAGCGTCACCGACGCAAACTGCAACGAGCTGGCCACCCAGGAGGACATTGACGGGTTCCTGGTGGGCGGCGCGTCGCTCAAGGGGGAGGCGTTCGTGCGCATCTGCAACGCGCGGGCGCCGGCGGCGGTGGGCAAGTAGAGGCGGGCAGCAGCCGCGGCGGCCGCAGCGGCGCGCCGTGCAGAGGATCAAGGCTGCAGAATCGGCTGCCAAGCGCACCCGCCTGCATGTGTGCGGTGTTTTTCCTGGGGCCTGGCATTTCCCTTCCACAGCCCCAGCAGCCGCCCCAGCTATTGTGCTTACAGGTGAAGAAATGGCACAGGGCTGGCCCTTTGGCTTTGCCAGCACATTGTCACTTGCTTGGATGGATTCACAACAGGCAAGCGTGGTCGCGCGTCCTGCTGCGCTTGCACCGCTCCACAGTTGCACATCCACCTTCTCCCAGCATCTGGGAGGTGACCACACTGACATGCTTGCGCTCCTGCTGTGCATCCACATGCATTTGGGTAGGCGTGACTGACGAGCAGCATCTGTAACCCAACCAGTAGACTCGCATGGTTTGTGGCACCCAGGTTGCAAGGCAGGCAAGTGCATGTGTATGTGTGAGGAGGGGGGGGGGTGCCACAGCAGTGGACCATCATGCTTGCATTGAGCGCGCCTGCATGGCACGGAAATGCACCATGAACAGCAAAAACAAGAGGATTCTCTTCATGACCAATTAGGCAGGCTCATCCAGTGCAAGCCGATCCGTAGCGGGACGGTGCCGCTCAAGAGCTGCTGGTGCTCTGGAGAAGAAGCATTGCAGCAGCGCGGCAGGTCACCGCACACAGGAAGGCTTTGCTGCCAATCCAGACTCGGCGCTCACCAGAGAATACAGCCTTGATTTTATAATTAATATCTGCTTTGTATCACGGCCGAGGAGTGCGTTCGGATTTTGATCTCGCTGCTCGAAGCCGTGCAGGGGCGGCCTTCTAGAGCTTATACAGGGAGAAAAGTACACAAGTACTGCCCGTGAAAATCATCTGTAAGGGCCGGCCGGCCCGCCCGGCAGCATGGCGGAGGATGAGGGACTGCAGCGCATGGCGGAGGTGCCCAGCCTGGGGCGCCCGATCAAGGGCGATGGCGACTTTGTCGCCCTCAACAAGATGTTGCGGGCGTGCTTTGTCTGCCGTCTTGTCAAGACGGAAAGACAGGTACGTGCACTGGCGAGCTGGGGTTCGGCTACAGGCGCAACAGGAGCGCGGCCACAGTTTGTTGCCGGGCGACAGCGTTAGGTGGCGCTCCGCCCAGAGCCTTCTTGCACACGCCACGGCCTCTTGCATTGTATGCAATCAAAATCCCTTCTCTATTCATGATGCGGGCTGTTTGCAGTTCATAGAGGCGGGCTGTGACAACTGCCGCTTCCTGCGGATGGAGGATGACCGCGATGCGGTGACCAACCTCACGACCCCCAACTTCACAGGGTGGGTGGCAGTCAGGTTGTTTTCTGATGCCGAAAGATGCTTCCCTGTTGGGGCGGCGCGCATGCCCGGCGGGATGGACGAGGCTGCGTGAGACGCCTGGATTGTGCAGCAGTGACAGCGGGCTGTTTCAGATCCGCTAGGAGCGGTGCTTCGAACGCGCATGGGCTCAGGGCCTGAACAGCCGCACCTGCCTGCCAGGCTGGGTGACGCGCGTTGCCAGCAGCTGCATCTGGGTGCTGTAGGTGGGCTCCACCAATGCCGCTGCCCCGCCCTCTTTGGCAGGATGATTGCTGTCATCAACCCCAAGAGCAGCTGGGCCACAAAGTGGGAGCGGCTAGGTGCGCCGTCAGCGGGGCCGTTGGCAGCGCCAGCAGAATCGCTGTCGCAGCAGCTGTGGGGAACGGATGGTTTATGTTGCGGCGGGCAGCCACATTCCTTGTGGGCTTCTCCATGGCAAAACACCTGCTGTTGTGTGCATGGGGCGGGTGCTGAGGCCGCTTGAGCAGTCAAATGTCTCTTAGGGCAACATGCAGCAGAGGCTTTGCGCGTTGCAGCGATTTGCTCCACTTACAGATGCCAAGTCTCTCACCTCGCCGCGCTGCGCCCCGGACATCTTACTTCAGACAAGGCCGTCCCGGGCTGCTACGCTCTGGCGGTCAACGAGGACCCCCCGCCGCGCTTGAGGGTGAGGGGACCCGGGAGCGGGGACCCAGCGGAGGCGTGTTTTTTACTTGTGAAGGCTGCGGGAGGTCAGGGCAGCCCTGCTATCATCACACACCCCTGCTTGTTGCCCGCTTTGCGTCGCTCCCGAGGACGAATCGCCGCCGGTTGCTTGTTAGGCAAGGCGCCCTGCATTGCAAATGGCCGTGTCGCTTGATCGTCGCACCTGTGCGCCGCGCGCTCACGCACAGGACATCATGGAAAACCGCAACATGCGCATGCCGGCGCGGCGGTGAGGCGGCGCCCAGGCCAGTGCTCAGGCCACAGAATCCCCATGAGACCACGGCTGATCTTCACACGAGGAAGTTCGCCGCAGCTGCGCGACCTGCGATAGCTTTAGCACCTCTTGAGTGCAATCCTGCTGCGCACACCGGATTTTGTAGGCCCAGATCCAGATTCCGCTGCGGGACATCTCTAAGTCTTGGGAAGCCCCCGTGTGTTGCACTCGGCCGGCCCTCACAGCAGCACCATGTAATCATATCTGCCTCCAAGTTGTGTGTATTGAAACTGGTGAAGGCACTGCACGCTCCGAAGGTTAGTGCAGTGGCTAGGCTCCAGGGGAGGGGCGCCGAAGGCGTTGGTGCTGCGGCAGCTGGCTAGCAGCCAAGGCCGCGGTGCTGCTCGAGGAGCAGCACCTGGCAGGCAGCTGGTGTCCCACCAGCTGCCCTTCGCCGTTGGCTCTTCTGAGGCGGGAGCAGCCACCCTCCAGTTTCGTTTCCTAGTGCTTAGCAGCACAAGTGGTTTTAGCCAGCTACCCGGCCCAATATATTTGCCGACCCGCGGACAAACACCGGTGCGCTGTGCGTCACCCGGGCGCGTAGCGCTTTCAGGGCCCATGCGCCGGGCAGCCGCGAAGGCCGCCCACCACAGACCACTTTCTCGCCGGCACTTGGCAGCGCACGCGGTTTGCACCAGATTTCAAAGGGGGTTGTGGGGCAGGGCGCTTTGGCTGCAGTGGGCTGCCGCGGCTTTGCCGCGGCGAGCGTTCTTTTCTCTTTGCCGCTGTAAAACATCGGCGGCCTCGGCTTTTTGGCTTGTCAGCTGTAGCAGCAGCCTCCCCTCCACTGAAGTTCCGTGTGTGGTAGTGCGGGTGGCATTGCACTTGGGACAATTGGCCGACCATGCAGCTCAGCCGCGTGAGCTGCGGTCAAGTACAACCAGATGTTTGGTCAGAGGGAAAAATCAAGCAAACAACGCTGTGTAAGTTGGTGGTAAAGGCCTGGGAAAGTGACATGCGGACGTCCGTCGGCAACCTGATGGACCGCTGGCGACTTGTGTCTTTGACCGCTGACGACATGTACAGCACCCGGTTCGCCTTCCATCTCTCCATCCCTGTCATTCTTGCGATGCTTAGATTGCTTCCGGCAGATGCAACCAGGCGCCAAGCGTCAGCAAGTCTTGTGCAATGACCAGGGTGGTGGCGTTGTGAGAGGACGGCACCGTGGCAACTACGATGTCTGATATGTGACTATTGCACCGACCCAGCATCATGAGAGGGGCCTCACGGTTGCGTCCTCACGAGGCAAGTTCAACATCACTCGGGGACAGCCAGCGCGCTGCGGCGGTCTGAAATAGGATGTGGGTGCACAAGGCTTGCGGTCACTAACCAAACGACATCCTTACCTCACCTGACGGTAGACCGTCCACCCCATGCCGCGCTGCACAGGCGGACGCTGCAATTGCTGCAGCGCGGTCGCCATCACCCCTGGCAAGGGCAGTGGAGCCCGTGCAGGTGGAGCCCAACCCCGAGCACCAGCTGCGCCTGGCATATCTGGGCGACGAGTGCTGCGCGGTGATCGATGCACTGAACGAGCTCACCGCTCTGCAGCTGGGCGGCCAAGCTGTGTTCGCCGGCGCTGCGACGGACCTGCAGCGGGGTGCCGATGCGCTGCGTATGCTGTCGGAGGCGCTGGTGCAGGGGCGGGAGGAGGGCGAGCAGCAGCCAGAACCAGCAGGTCGCATCCCCCTGGAAGAGGTGCGCGAAGCAAAAGCAATGGAGCAATCCGTTAGAAACACATTTGCATTCACGGTCTACTGTGCGCAACATTTGCAGATGCCATGAGCTACCCCCATGGGCACATGTTCCCTGCTGCAGCCCCTCCCAGGGCGATCACGGCAGCAGCGCCCCGGCCTCCCTGAACGTGGTGGTCCTGCTGGCAACCAATGCTGCAGGCCCTCCAAGAGGCGGACTCAGTGCTGTGCACGCTGGGGGCCTTGCAAATGGAGGACCAGCAGCGGCTCATCGCGCGGACGAGCCGGGCGCTGAGGGCGATGCACGTGCAGCTGCTGAGGGCCCCGGGGCCGCAGGCGCTGGCGGGAGGCGCCTGTTTCAAGGCAACAATTGAGGTGGGAGGGGTTTGCATGGTGGGCTGTGTGGCTGGTGGGTGAGCGTTGTATAAACAGCGATAAATCAACAGCGTTCATGAAATGCATTGTTCATTACAACCCCAGCTGCCATGTGCAAACATTACGCGCATAAACCTCCTGCTAATGTCAATACCCTTCAGGCCCAGCAGTCGTGGCGCTCCGTCGCAACGGCGTGCCGCGAGAGCAGCGCCACGGTCAGCGAATGTGTATCCGGCCTGGGGCTTGCGCTGAGCAAGCTTGGCTCGTCCAGGCAGCAGCTACTGGACGGCGGCTTGGAAGCAGACGCTGTTGATGAGGTGCGTGTGCGACAGAATTGATGCAAGCGATCCGCCACGCCACATGGAGGCCAATGAGGGGCATTTTTTTCTGCTTGCAGTCAATGCAAGCAGCATCGCACAACGATTGTCGTCCCAACGCCGCAGATGGGCCGCGCCCACTGCCTTTGCTGTCTTTGCAGGGTGATCGCTGGGTCGCCGCGTGCATAGGGGCCCTGCAGCAGTACGCCAGCCAAGGGGAGCAGGCGGCCGCGCTGGAGCAGATCGCTGCCAGGCTGGGCGCGCTGCAAGAGGGCCTGAAGGGCAAGTTTGGTGGAGGCTCAGGGCAGCCGCAAACACCAGAGCCCCCCACCCACCAGCGGCAGCAGCAACAGCAGCAGCAGCCGCAGGAGCAGGAGCAGCCGAATGAGCAGCTTCAAGAGCAGCAGCAGCCGCGCGGTCAGCAGCAGTCGGTGCTGCAGCAGTCGCAGCAGCCGCATCTGGAGCAGCCGCAGCAGCCGCAGTCCGAACAGGGTCAGCTGAGACAGCTGGTATGCGCGCAGCAGCCCCAGCAGCAGGAAGAGCAGCGACCAGGACAGTGGCAGCAGCAGCTTGAACACCAGCACGCGCAGCAACCAGAGCAGCAGCAGCAGCAGCAGCTGCTGCTGCAGGCGCCGACATCAACAGGCACAGCTTCGGCTTCCCAATCACAGGCGGCATCGTCTGAAATCGATCGCCACCGCTCAGTGTCGGCGCCCGGCCAGCTGCCCGGCGCGGCGCAGCACGCAGAGGTGGCGCTCGATGAGTCTGGGGGTGTGCGGCTGAGGTGGCTTAGTGAGGTTGCCGCGTATTCAACCAGCGCCTGTGAGCGCGGCCCCCTTGGAGAGGACGACAGGGCAGCGGCTGCCAGCAATCCGGAGCTGCCAGCAGACATGACCCAGCCGCCTACGGCCGACGGGGCGGCTGCGAGCGGTGCAGAGGCTCCGAGCGGCGCCTGCGGGGCCGGCGGCGCGCCGCGGCATGTCGGTGACGACGGCACCAGCGGCGGCCACGCAGGGCAGGCCGACACGGCTGCGGGCGCAGGGGGTGCGCTGCAGGCGCCTGCGGCGGCGGACCGGCTTGCTGAGGCGGTCCGCGCAGGCCGCGAAGCCTTGGAGGAGCTGCGCCGCTCCCTTTCGCCACGCCCCCCGTCCCAATCCAGCACGGCCCCCAGCTGCGGCCCCGACGCTGGCCCCGCCTCCCCGTCCGCCGCGCGCTCGCCGGCGCCGTCGCCGCTCGGGCGGCGCGGCGGCGGCGGGGCCGGCGGCGACAGCACGCCTGGCTCGGCGATGGAGCCGCTTGCGGCGCTGCTGGACGATCTCGTGGTGCAGTGCGGCTCCCTGCAAAAGGAAATGATGGCGCTGCGGCGCGAGGCACTGGACGGCGGCGGCTCGGACAGCGGCAGCGGCGGGCGCGCGCAGGGGGACGGCGGCGCGCCGCGCGCGGCGGGCGCGGGCGTTGGTGGCGGCGGCGGGAGGGGGCCGCGCAACCTGCTGGGCGACTTTGAGGGGCGCGGCTTGCGGTCTCCAGGGCGGGGTCGGTCGTACACGCGCTATGACAACCCGTTGGCTCTGGCGGCGCCCGAGGACGACCCGGCGGGCAGCGGCGGCGGCGAGGGCGAGCGCGAGGAGGCCGCGGCGGCGCCGCAGGCGGCGAGCGAGCCGGCGTCGCCGACGCGGCTGGGGCCGGACGCCGCGGCAGACGAGCGGGAGTCGCAGAACACCGCCCGGCGCAGCAGCGGCGGCGGGGGCGCCGCGGCGGTGGGCGCGGCCGTGGGCATGCGGGCGGCGGCTGGCGCGGCGTCCCCACCGCTGGATGCGCAAGGCAGCGTGGCCGGTCGGCGAGGCGCCGGCGCCGAAGCCAGAGGCTCCCCTACGGCGGCTCTGCAGGCGGCACCCCTTGCACCAGGCTCGCCGCCGCCGCCGCCCGCGCGCGTGGCGGAGCTTTTTGACGCGCTGGCCGTCGTGCACGCGCGCTGCCCCGCCGCGCTGCGCGAGCTGCCGCGCTTCGAGGCGCTGAGCGGCCCCGACCTGCGCGCGTGGCTGGCGGCGGGCGCGGAGTGCGGGCGCGCGGCGGCGGCCATAGGCGGCGCGGTGCGGGATATCACGCAGGCCCTACAGCGGGAGTTAGAGAGGCGGCAGGCGAGCGTCAAGGGTCGGGTTGATGATGCAGGGCGTCGGGGAGGTGTTGCAGGGTGTCGTGGCGTGTCGCGGGTTGGTGCATGTGAGTGCACGCGAAACATGATCTGGTGCGGTGTTACGCGCGCAGATGAATGCCAGGAATCGCCGTCTGCCGTGCGCCTCCGTGCCTGCCGCTGCATGATCTCCGCCCCCTAACCCCATGCCCCGCGCCGCGGCCGACCCTGCTCTCCGCACCCCAGGAAGCCGACGGCCGCGCCGGCGATGCCCTGGGCGCCGCCAACGACCGCGAGGCGGGGCCCGAGTCCCTAGCCTTGAGCCCCAACGCGCCCGCATCCCCTGGTTCGTGGCGCATCCCAGCGGTATACACCCCCGGCCGCCAGGTAGACAGTGACCCGGCGGCACCCGCGCCCGAGGCTCGCCCCTCACCGGGCCCGCCCGCCGTCGGCGCGCCTGGCAGCGGGGCGAGCGCCGACAGCAGCGGCAGCGGCGCTGCCGGCAGCGGCGGCGCTCGGTACGCGGGTGTGCAGGCGCCGCCCGTGTTTGAGGGTGCGTCTGGGTCTCACGGGCCTCAACTGCTGAAGCGGCGCGCCCAGCATGCCGGCCGGGGCCGCGGCAGCTTGCTAGTTGAGGTGCCTGACAGCGCAGGGGGCTCTGCGCAACCGGAAGGCGGTGCGAGCAGCAGGGGAAGCAATAGCAGCAGCTGCGGCGGCGGCAGCAGCGAGGGAAGGTTAGGTGGCGCGTCGCCGCAAGCGGCGGCGCTGTCGCAGCAGCAGCAGCAGCAGCAGCAGCAGCAGCTGCAGCAGGCCGAGGAGGCCGAGGCGCGAGAGCGTCAGCACACGCAGCAGGAGGCGAGGCTGCGCGCTGAGCTGGCGGAGGCGCGCGGCCAGCTGGAGGCCACCCAGCTGCAGCTGCGGCGCGCGCTGTACCGCGAGTCCCTCCCCTCCTCGGCCCGCCGCCGCAGCGGCTCGCTCACAGGCGCCCCGCCCCTCTGCGCGGAGCAGCCCCTGCTGGCGCCCGGCGGCGCCATTCTGGAGGAGAATTTCGGCAGCAGCGGCGGTGGTGTCGGCGGCTGCGGGGCTGACAGTGATGAGGGAGAGGATCCGCTGCGCCTGCAGCAGTCTGTCATCGAGGTGCTGCAGCAGCAGGTCAGCGCCGCGCAGGCGCTCGCGCTCGAGCGCGGCGGGGAGGTGCGGCGGCTGGAGCGCCAGGTCAGCGAGCTGGGCGGGATCGTGGTGGCCGCGGAGCGCGCGATAAGCGGCGCGCTGGGCGCAGAGCCGCGGGCGGGCGCTGTTGGGGCGGGCGCGGGTGCCGGAGGGCTTCGGGCAGAGGGGCCGGGCGGCGGCGGCGATGGGGCGGCGATCTCGCGCGGCACCGCCGGGTATGAGCGACCGCACAGCGGAAACAACAGCAGCAGAAGCAGCAGAAGCAGCAGCGGCAGCAGCAGCAGCAGCAGCAGCAGCAATAGCAGCGGCGGCAGTAGCAGCGGCGACAGCTCGCAGATCTCTGGGCGCTCGCAGAGCCCAGAGCGCGGACGCACGCGGCAACAGCGGCGGCGGCGGCGCCAGCTGGGGTCGCAAGCAGCAGGCGCGGGCGCGGCCGGGGCCGAAGCCGGGTCAGTGGAGCTGGAAATTGAGTCTTCTCCAGACAGGGCCGTCCCCTTGCTGGGGCGCAACCCCCGGTACTCAGACGCCACAGAGCACTGCAGCAGCGCTGCGGCCGCGGCCGCGCCGGCCACGGGCGCCCTTCCAACTGCGGCGGCCGCGGCGATGCCGGCGTCGCCGCTCGCCGCCGCCCGCGCCGCGGCCGCGGCCGCGTCGCCGCTTAGCCGCTCCCCCTCTCCGACGCGCCTTGCGCTCGAGGCACGCCTGACGCAGCAGGGCAGCGCCGCGCAGTCGCGCCTGCGCGCGCTGCTGGCGGCGGGCGGGCTGCCACGGCCGGGCGGCGCGGGGGCGGCCGGGCGGCGGCTGGCGATTGTCGGGACCGTCCGCGATGATGGGGTCGTCACTCTTGAGCCCGTGGCTGACGCCGAGGCGGGCGGCGCCGCGCCGCAGCCGCAGCCGCAGCTGCCGGCCGGGCAGGGGCGTCCGCAGTACGTGCGCTTGGTGGAGGAGCCGGCGGGGCCGGAGGCGGCGGCGGCCGGCGCCACTGCTGCGCACGTGGTGTGGCCGGCTCGGGAGGAGTACGAGGCCGAGGTTGCGCGGCTGAGGGGGGAGCTCGAGGCGGCGCAGCTGCGGGTGCAGACGGGGCGCGCGGATTACGACCTGCTGAAGCGGGAGCTGGAAGCCCAGGAGGCACAGGTGCGTGCGAGATCTGGATCTGCCAATGGTTGAAGGTGGCGGGGGGTTGAGGGGTGGGCCCGCAGCATGTCTGGAAGGTACGGACCCCAAGTCCAGTCAAGTGGAAGGTTCGGAACCAGCTGCATAGGGATGTGAAACTGCGTGCTGTCCCTCGTGGCAAAGGCCTATGCAAGGCAATTTTAAGGGCATGGCTGCTTGGCAGGCCAAGGCAGCCGGCCTAGCCGCAACCTGATGGCTGGCCAAGACGCCAAAAACATGTACCCATGGCAGCAGGGTTCGGCATACGCGTCGCAGCACGAATATCCATCCCGCTTCCCTCCCCTCGTGCCAAAAAGACACACAACAAACAACTGCGCGATCGCTGGTGACGCCGCCGCAGATGCCCCAAGTGATACGGGAGCTGCAAGAGCAGCAGATGCGCGTCCAGGCACTGCAGCACAAGGTGCAGGCCAAGGACTCGCGGCTCGCGGCTCTGCAGCAGGCGCTGGACACAGCGCGCGGGCCCGCTCCGACGGCGGGCTCGCCGCCGGAGCGCTCGCAGCGGCTCGAGGCCGCGGCGCAAACCGAGGCCGCGGTGGCGTCGGCGACGGCGGCGGGGGATGTGGGTACGGCAGGGGGGGAGACGGGGGAGTGGCTGCTTGCGGAGCGGCTCTCGCAGCTTGAGCGCGAGAGCGCCGCGTGGGCAGTGGAGCGGGCGGCTCTGGAGGAGCGGGTCAGGACGCTCTCCCAGGAGCAGCGGCTGCAGCTGCTGCCGCCCGAGCAGCCGGAGCAGCGGCAGCTGAGGAGCCGCTCGGCCGAGGTGGCTGCAGATGACGCGGCCCTGGGGGAGCAGGTGGGGCAGCGTGGTGGATAGCGTGGGGCGCGCGGCCGCCGTTGCGGGGGTGTGTCCCGGGAACCTGACGGTCGCGGGGCCGCAGGTAGAGATCGGTGCGGGAATTGTCCCTGGTGTCATGCAGCCTTGGAGAATGTACGCACACAAGGGCAGGACCAAGCAGTAGGGCAGTCCGTGCGGTCGAGTTCGCGACAGCGACCAGACGCCTCGGCATGGCGGCAGCTTTGCCGCATCGCGCCATCTGGTGTCCCGTTCCCTCACCCTTGACCTTCCCCTTTTACACACACACACGCGCGCGCGCGCGCGCACGCTCACTCACACACCAACACCCACAGGACCATCAGGGATGCCTATCAGCCAAGAGCTCTGCGTCTGCTGGCGACGACCAGCCGCCCCCGCAGGCCGCATGGCTCCCGGGCCCTTGCGCCGCGCCGCAGCCGCAACACCCGAACAGTGCGGGCGATGGCGAGGCCGCGAGCCTGGACCACGAGCCCGCCACGCACGACTTTGAGGCAGAGGGCGCAGCGTCGGACGGGCCTTTGATATGGGATGTGGAGGCTGCGATGGTTGTGCCCTGCGGCGGGAGCGCCGGCGGCGCCGGGCCCGGGGC